TGTCAAGAGTTTTCAGTATTTATTTATTTATATAAAAAAATATTTATTAATTGATATAAAAAGAATTTTTATCTATATTATTATTAGATGTGTAAAGAGTTTCATTATTTATTTATATAAAAAAAAATATTTATTAAATGATATGAAAAGAGTTTTTACTAAAACAAAAAAAAAAAAAAAAAAAAAAAATCTATAAAACAGTAAAATCTACATAATAAAATTTAAATTAACCTATTTATCTATTTATTGTTATCCATTTTTAATAAAAGAAAATCTAATTAGACAAGATTTATTAATATAAAAAATATTTTTTAATTGATATATAAAATAAAATAATTTTTATAAAACTCTACCACAAATTAGCTTTTATTATGAGTATCTTAATAAAATTAAAACTTATTAGACAAGTATATATTTAAAGAAAATAAAATAATTTCAATAAAACTCTATTACAAATTACTTATTTTATTATCAATAAAACTCTATAAATAAAGATATATTTAAAGAGTTTATATAAAACTCTAACACAAATTACCAATTTATCATTGAGTTTTTTAATAAAAGGAAACTCAATTAGACAAGTATTATTAATATAAAAAATTATTTATTAACTGATACGAAAGGAGGTTTTTAAAGAGTTTTTAAAACACAAATTACCTATTTAACTATTTATTTTGAGTTTTTTTTACTAAAAGAAAATCTAATTATACAAGAATTATTAAAATAAAAAATATTTATTAATTAATATAAAAAGAGTTTTTAAAAGAGTTTATATTAAACTCTAACACAATTACCTATTTATTTATTTATTACAAGTTTTTTAATAAAAGAAAATCTAATTAGACAAGATTTATTAATATAAAACAATATTTATTAATTGATATATAAAATAAAATAATTTTTATAACACACTACCACAAATTAGCTTTTATTATGAGTATCTTAATAAAATTAAAACTTATTAGACAAGTGTATATTTAAAAAAAATAAAATAATTTCAATAAAACTTTATTACAAATTACCTATTTTATTATCAATAAAATTCTATCAACAAAGATATATTTAAAGAATTTGTATAAAACTGTAATACAAATTACCAATTTATCATGAGTTTTTTAATAAAAGAAAACCTAATTAGACAAGTATTATTAATATAAAAAATTATTTATTAACTGATACAAAAGGAGGTTTTTAAAGAGTGTTTAAAACACAAATTACCTATTTAACTATTTATTTTGAGTTTTTTTTACTAAAAGTAAATCTAATTAGACAAGAATTATTAAAATAAAAAATATTTATTAATTGATATAAAAAGAGTTTTTAAAAGAGTTTATATTAAACTCTAACACAATTACCTATTTATTTATTTATTATAAATTTTTTAATAAAAGAAAATCTAATTTACTGAATAAAACCAATCACATTATATATAAAACTCTTATTTTTAATTTTTTTTTATGAATAATTATAGTTTTTATAAAAATCTAAAAATTACCTAATAAAATGAATCATATTCTATATAAAACTCTTATTATTAGTTATTTTTTATGGATAATTATCACAATATAACCGGCCCGGCCTAGTTATGATTATGTCATTATCCGAAAAGGACACATGTCATTATCCTATTCATTCAAGAAACTTATAAATAGAGGCATGGAGGAAGGAGGAAAGGTACAGAAATTGAGAATTCTAGAAATCTAGAATTTCAGAGTAAAATACAGAAATTCTGCCAAAGAGTTTTATTTATATAAAAAAATATTTATTAATTGATATAAAAAGAGTTGAATTCCAGAGTAAAATACAGAAACTCTGTTAAAGAGTTTGAATATTTCAATATTTATTTATTTATATAAAAAAATTTTTATTAATTGATATAAAAAAAATATTTATCTATACTATGATGTGTAAAGAGTTTCAGTATTTATTTATTTATGTAAAAAAAAATATTTATTAAATAATATAATAAAACACTAAAATTTACATAATAAAATTTTAATTAACCTATTTATCTATTTATTATTATCAATTTTTTAATAAAATAAATCTAATTAGACAAGAATTATGAATATAAAAAATATTTATTAATTGATATATAAAAGAAAATAATTTTTATATAACTATACTATGAGTTTCTTAATAAAATTAAATCAAATTACCTATTTATAAAACTCTAACACAAATTACCTGTATATCTATTTATTATGAATTTTTTAATAAAAAGAAACATAATTAAACAAGTATTATTAATATAAAAAATTATTTATTAACTGATACAAAAAGAGATTTTAAAAGAGTTTTTAAAAAACTCTAACACACATTACCTTTTTATCTATTTATTATTAGTTTTTTAGTGAAACTAAATGTAATTAGACAATAATTATTAAAATAAAAAATATTTATTAATTGATATAAAAAGAGTTTATGTTAAACTCTAACACAAATTACCTATTTATTTATTATAAGTTTTTTAATAAAAGAAAATCTTAGTAGACAAGAATTACTAATATAAAAAATATTTTTAATTGATATAAAAAATAAAATAATTTTTCTAAAATTATACCACAAATTATCTTTTATTATGAGTTTTTTTTTTTTTTTTTTTTTATAATAAAAGCTAATCTAATTAGATAGGAATTATTAAAATATAAAAATATTTATTAATTCATGTAAAAAGAGTTTAAAAATATTTTATATAATACTCTAACACGTATTACAAATTATAATTTTTTAATAAAATAAAATCTAATTTTCAGAGTAAAATACAGAAGTTGTACCAACGTGTTTCAGTATTTATTTAATTATATAAAAAAATATTTATTAATTAATATAAAAAAAGATTTTATCTATACTACTATTAAATGTGCAAAGAGTTTCAGTATATAAGTATCTATTTATAAAAAAATAAATTTATTAATTGATCTGAAAAGTATTTTTTTTTTGTTAAAAAAAAAAAAACTCTATCAAACTCCAAAATCTATTTAATAAAATTTAAATTAACCTATTTATCTATTTATTATTATGAATTTTTTAATAAAAGTAAATTGAATTAGACAAGAATTATTAATATAAAAAATACTTATTAACTGATATATAAAATAAAATAATTTTTTTAAAACTCTACCACAAATTAACTTTTATTATGAGTTTCTTAATCAGATTAAATTTAATTAGACAAGGATATTTTTAAAGAAAATAAAATATTAAATGTGCAAAGAGTTTCAGTATTTCAGTATTTATTTATTTGTATAAAAAATATTTATTAATTGGTACGAAAAGAGTTTTTATAAAAATATATAAATAAATAAAACTCTAAAATCTAAAATCTTAATAAAACTCTAAAATAAATAAATAAATAAATAAATAAACTTAATAAAACTCTAAAATCTACCTAATAAAATTCAAATTAACCTATTTATCTATTTATTATTATGAATTTTTTTAATAAAAGTAAATCTAAAGTTTCAGTATTTATTTATTTATTTAAAAAATATTTATTAAATGTGGAAAGAGTTTTTATAAAACTATATCACAAATTACCTATTTATCGATTTATTATGAGTTTTTTTAATCGAAGAAAATCTAATTAGATAAGCATTATTAAGATAAAATAAAATTTATTAAATAATATAAAAAGAAGTTTGAAGAGAGTTTCTATAAACTCTAACACAAATTACCTATTTATCTATTCATTATGAGTTTTTTAATAAAATGAAATCTAATTAACCAAGAATTATTAATATAAAAAAATATTTATTAATTGATATAAAAAGTGTTTTTTAAAGAATTTCTATTAAACTGTAACACAAATTACCAATTTATTTATTTATTATAAATAGATTTCCAGAAAATATAATAATTTCTATAAAACTCTACCACAAGTTATCTATTTTATTTTCTTTAAAACTCTATCACATATAACTTGTTTTTATCTATTTATTGTGAGTTTTTTTTATGAAAAAATCTAATTAGACAACGATATATTTAAAGAAAATGAAATATATTTTTAAAAGAGTTTATATAAAATTTTAATAAAAATTACCTATTTACGTATTTATTATTAATTTTTTAATAAAATATAATATAACTAGACAAGAATTATTAATATAAAAAATATTTAATAATTGGTATAAAAACTAAAATAATTTTTCTAAAACTCTACCACAGATTATATTTTATTATGAGTTTTTTAATATAAAAAAAATCTAATTAGACAAGGATATATAAATTTAAAGAAAATAAGTAATTTATATAAAATTCTACCACAAATTATCTATTTTATTTGCAATGAAACTCTATCACATTAGATAAGGATATATTTAAATAGTTTTTATAAAACTCTAACACAAATTACCAAAACTTTACCACAAATTAAGTATTTTATTTTCTTTAAAACTCTATCAATATAACCTGTATTTATCTATTTATGATGTGTTTTCTAATAAAATAAAAAATCTAATTAAATAAGGATATATTTAAACAAAATATAACAATTTCTATAACTCTATCACATTAGACAAGGATATATTTATGGGTTAATTTCACTGACACCTTCAGTAATTTGGCCAAATATCAGTCTAAAACATCTTTCGAAAATAATTACCAGTTAGGTCCGTTTTTGTTTTTCCATTACAGTCTCCGTTAAAAGCATGGGAAAAGACAAATTTGTCCCTACTTTTTAAATAACATTTATTTCAAAATATTAATTAGTTAAAAGACAATTATACCCCTGATAATTATACCACAAATAAAATCTGTAACTTCATCATCTCTCCGACGAAGAAGACGTCTAAATGAGGACATCAGTCACCTTTGGTGCTGGAGGTGATGAAGACGACGAAGGCTTGGAGGTTTCTCTGTAATTAAAGAAAAACAATAATGGTTTTTTAACAAAGGATAACAAAAGCAAACCAAAAATATAAAATATAAAATTTGTGATATTACTAACCCCTTTCCTGGACCATAAGAGAACCAAGACCTCACCACTGTGTCCATGGAATTCATGTAAAGGTTTCTCCAAAATCCGAAAGACTTTTTGATGGGAAAATTACACAAGCTGACTCCGTTGATTTCCTCAACCTCTTCATCCTACCAATTTTGTTTTTATCCACATCAAGATGGGCAAATTTGGATAAATGATCCATTAAGAAGTACAAACATGAAGGATCAGTATCTTGAATGTCAAATTGATTTGGTCTCTCATACTCCATCACCTTCCAGACACGAACGACATTGTCTTCACCGGCACTTGCCAGGTACTGGCCATCGGGACTAAATTTCATTGTCAAGATTGAGCCCTTGTGTGCTGAAAATTCTTGTCCTGCGTAAAGGGAGGACAATTCTTTTGACCTCTTCCCATGTAGATGAACCCGAACTCTTCGAACTCTAGTCCCCAATTCCAAGTTGAAATCACTCGGCTTCAAACTTTCTTCCCCTTGCCTATTGGTAATACGTGATAGGACATTTAATTTTTTAAGCCAGCCCCTCTTCATTTTCTTCTTCATATCCACTGTGTCACCGGCCTCAGCTTCTTCATGTGATCTTCCAACCATTCGATGATGGCTAATTTCATCCATGACAATCTCTCTCTCCTCTTCCGAATTCTTGATACTACACTCGGAATTCCCCTCATCACATATATCATCTTGTATCCATCCTGTAGCTTCAGAGCAATTCGACAAAAACTAATCTGAATTTCTTAGCACAGCACCACTGTCTTCAGTAATTCTAATTCTGTCAATTCCCATTTTGATGTCATTATCTCCTGGTTTCTCTCTTTCAACCGGATTCTGATCTAAACTCAAACCCATCCATTTCATGAACCTATGGCGACGCTCACAAACACTCTCTAGATTCTCGGCTGAGAAGGGTTTTGGAAAGACGGTTGGTGAGGTCGGAGAGGGTGGTTTGGTGCTCAGCCACCACGATTCGGCTATCGCCGCCGCTGTCTCTTATGCCGACATCCTTGCCGGTGTCGGTGGTGGTGTAAATCAAACCCAAACTCGGCAACGATGGCTGCCACCGAGACCCGCAAGACCCAACAAACCCCGCCGGAGACGAATCCAAACCGGAATCGGACTCAAACCATGGGAAAGACAAGCTCAGCACCCCGTCGCACCCCGTCGCTGGAATTGCACCACACGCACCGATCGACATCTTCTTGAGGAGAGCAGTCACAGCGTGTTGGAGGTCCTCTTTACCGCGATCGACGGCGATTGGTGGTGGTGTTGTGCTTGTGTGTGTGTATATATATATCTGTGTGTGTATATAGGAGTATATATATGTCTGCCTATATATATAATATAATTTGTAAATTTACAAATTTTTAAGGGGCCATATTGTTTTTTAATACTAATATTTTGTAAAAAAATAAATTAAAAAAATAAGGGTAGACCAAAGTCAATGGTCAAACTAAAGTCAAAGGGTAAAAATATCTTTTTATATGTAAAAAGTGGTTGACACACCTGCAAATTAACTTTTGGGGTGTGAGTAAAAAACGGAACAAAGTTTGTAACGTGAGTGATAGTTATTTTCGAAGAATGTTTTAGATTGATATTTGGCTAAACTTCAGGGAGTGTGAGTGAAATTATCCCTATATTTAAAGAAAATATATAATAATATAATAATACATATAAATAAAATATAAATGTTAAAGAATTTGAACATTTCAGTATTTATTTTTTAATATAAAAAATATTTATTAATTAATATAAATATTTATCTATTTTTTATGAGTTTTTTAATAAAAGAAAATCTAATTTTACAAAGATATATCTAAATAAAATAAAATAATTTCTATAAAATTCTACCACAAATTACGTATTTAAAGAAAATAAAATATAACCTAGGGTCTTCCAAAAACCACAAACTCCATATAATAAATTTTTATATCAATTTCAATCTAATGTATAATTAGTATAATTGAATTTTTATTTTAAAATTTAATTAAAAATTAATATAATTGAATTTCTATTGTAAATTAAAAATTATACTAAATTTCAAATTATCTAATAAAATTCAAATTACAAGTTACCTAATAAAATTCAAATTACCTAAAAAAATTTCTTACTTTGCAAAACTCAAATATTTCACTATTAAAATAAAAAATTATTATTTAATAAAAAATAAAATATACATATTTCAGTATTAATATAAAAACATTAAAGAATTTATTAATTTACGAAACTTAAACTATATCACCAATTTCAAAATATTTCAGCATTTATTTATTAATATAAAATAAATTTTTATTAATCAATATGAAGATAAAATTTTTATAAGTTATAAAATATTTATCACATGTATTGCACGTGTCTTTTCCTAGTGTGTGTGTATATATATATATATATATATATTATACATTTACATTATTACACACCTCAATACTACTACATTGTGCTGGAACTGCTGTTCTAAATATATATATATATATATATATATATATACACCTCAATCCTACTACATTGTGCTGGAACTGCTGTTCTAAATATATATATATAGATTGAGGTGTGTAATAATGTAAATGTATAATTTAACCACGTGGGTGGTTAGAAAGATTCCTCGTGGATAAGGATTAGAATATTCTATTATTGAGGAAGAAAATGTGATTGCATGCAGAAAAAAGGCTTATAAGTCAGTTCAGACCTAAGTTCATAAAGGTGGTTTGAAATTATTTAGTGCAAACTTAAAAGAAAGGAGTGTTTGTTTTTTTTTCCCGGCAAAAAGAAAGGATTACATGTGGACCGTACAATAAAGAGAGAATAAACTGTTTTCTCTCTCCAAAAGTAATACTATTAACAACTGCAACAATATGCATGTACAGTGCGGGGTGCGTATTGTACTCCATGTAGTCGGCATAGAAGCGTTACACCACAGAGGGAGAATTTTAGCGCCGCCGGGGGGGGGGGGGAATGCCAGTGAACTTTAGAGTGTGGAAAGAGAAATTTGAGTTAAACAGGGGGGGACATGCCAGTGAATTTTAGAGTGTGGAAAGAGAAATTTGAGTTAAACGCCGCCGGGGGGGGGGGGGGGGGACATGCCAGTGAATTTTAGAGTGTGGAAAGAGAAATTTGAGTTAAACAGAGGATGTGAATTTATTTTTAATTTTTTTGTCTAAATTTATTTTTAATTTTTAATTATTTAAATAAAAGAATTTTTTTAAAAAATAATTTAATTAATTTCTTAATTTTTATGAATATATTACATGAAGAAGAAAGTATTTTTATTTAAGTAATTTATTATTTTTTCATCAATATATTGTATGAAAAAAGGATTTTTTTTTTACAGTAAAAAAAGGTTAAACGGAGTATAATAAGTTTTATTATAAAGACTAAAGTTGTAATAATAAGTTGATCATTTTAGACATACAAATTTATTTATGTTTTTTCATTTTTATGATAAAATTGATAAATAACAAAATTAAGGTAAATAATATAATTAATATGAGATAAGAGCATCCGGGAAAAAGAGAAAATATAATAAAAATAATTTAATAAAAAATGACAAATTTAATGAGAAAGGGCAATACAATCTTTTGCGATAAATTTGTCGTTAATTACAACATATTAATAATTTAGGAAATAATTTTTAATTCAAAAAGATTATTTACAAAGGAGCAATAATTCAAGAAGGTTTTGTGCACGTTACCCAATATTATATACATAAGTTGATGACAATTCGAATTGAACTAAAGACCTTAGCATCCAACTTGATGCATCTGAATAAAAGTTATATTGGCTATAAACTTAACACTGTTTAAACACAATAACATAAGCATGTTATTTTGCTAATACTGCTAGAGAGAAGTGAATCGGCGTCTCCGATTTGAAATTGGAGTTCTTCTAAAACACTTATAATTAATTCGGTGTTTCAAGGTTATGGTTTTTTGTTGAAATTTTAATAAATAGCTAAATGTGTTGGAGTTGCACTACACAATCAACCGAATTTGATTCCAGTTGTTGCGGCGGAAACATAAAATAACAACGCACATTGTTCAATGAATAATCAAGCAATCACAAAGAAAAAAAAAATCACACACAAAAACACAAGATATACATGGTTCACCCAAATTTTAGAGCTACATCCATGGAACACACCGAAGAAACTCCCCATGAAAAAGATGAAGAATTACAAGGAGAATTCTCTCTCAATCTCTCTTAATTGCTCTCTCTTGTATTGGCACAAATTTTTCTCTAATTTTTACACTCTATTTATAGAGTCTCAAACTTGTCCTACAAGAACTTACCTTTTGTAGAATCCAAAACCATTAAGGAAGTTAAATCAGATCAGGAAACTAAATTTTCCTTAAACCAATAAGGAAGCTAAAGCAGATCAGGAAACTGAATTTTCCCTAAACCAATAAGGAAGTTAAACCATATCAGAAAACTGAATTTTCCCTAAAATTCAGCAGTGTTGGAGTTTCCATATAATGAAACATTCCTAAAAATTAATCAGACTCCACAAACCACAACAATTTCCCATTTGAAGGCTGGAGCACTTGTAAATCCATTCCATCTTCTTCTCATACATGTCTCATGCATGTCGGTGTGCTTTTCTCTATCTTCAAGCTAAAAGACTGACTAAAGCTGCGCACAGCTTCAGTTTCTCCATGGTCACTGTCTTAGTCAACATATCAGCTGGATTCTTGGTGTCAAGTATTTTCTCAAGTGTTAACACCCCATCTTCTAACAAAGATCTGATAAAGTGATACCGAAGTCCTTGAATTTAATGCTGAATTCTTTGCCAGATGTATCGCATTCTGACTATCACTGTGCAAAGCATTCTTCACCTGTTCGAATCCCAACTTTGTCAACAAACCTTGCAACCAAATCATCTCTTTACTAGCCTATGTCATTGCCACATACTCTGTCTCTGTAGTAGATAACGCTACAATCCTCTGTATTTGCGAAACCCAACTAACTGCAATCGTACCCACCATGAACATATACCCGATAGTACTTCTTCTGTGGTCCACCTCACCAGTAAAGTCTGAATCTACATAACCATGTAGCTTCACTTCGCCCCTTCTGAAACATAAGCATCTGTCTGTGGTACCCCGTAGATATCTCAATATCCATTTTACTTCTTCCTAGTGTAGCTTGCCTGGATCCTTCATGAACCTGCTTACTGCTCCCACTGTATATGCAATGTCTGGTCTTGTGCACACTATGGCATACATCAAACTTCCAATGGCTGAGGCATATAGAATTTTAGCCATGAAGTTTTTCTTATCTTCTGTCTTCGGACACTAATCTTGAGATAATCGAAAGTGATTAGCTAAGGGAGTACTCACCGTCTTAACATTATTCATGTTGAACTTCTTTAGAACTTGTTCAACGTACTCAGCCAAAGACAACTACAAAGTACCTTTCTGCTTATCTCTGTTAATCCTCATCCCAAGAATCTGCTTCGCCGCACCAAGATCCTTCATCTTGAATTCACTAGACAACTGCTTCTTCAATTTGCTGATTTCTTCAAAATCAGAACCTGCCACTAACATGTCATCAACATAAAGTAGAAGAATAATGAAACTTGAGTTAAACCTCTTGAAGTAACAGCAATGGTCAGCGTTGCACTTGTTGTAGCCATATCGTTTCATAAAACCATCAAACTTCTTGTACCACTGCCTCGAGGCTTGCTTCAAACCATACAAGCTTTTCTTCAACTTGCATACTAGTTTTTCTTTCCCTTTAACTGAGAAACCCTCCGATTATTGCATGTAAATCTCCTCCTCAAGGTTACTATGGAGGAAAGCAGTTTTGACATCTAACTGCTCGAGGTGCAACCCTTTTGCTGCAACAATACTAAGAACTGAGCGAATGGTACTCAGTTTCACAACCGGGGAAAAAATGTCTATGTAGTCAATGCCTTACTTTTGCTGAAAGCCTTTGACCACCATTCTAGCGTTGTATCTCTTGGAACCATCATGTTCATCTTTTACCTTGTATACCCATTTGTTGTGAAGAACTTTCTTCCCCATGGGCAACTTGGCTAGTTCCCATGTTTTATTGGAGATAAAGGACTTCATCTCATCTTCCATTGCAAGCTCCCATTTACTAGCATCTTCAACCTGACATGTTTCATCATAGCATTCAGGCTCACCATCATCTATGAGTAACATATAATCCAAATATTTCCTATTCGGTACGTGAGACCGC